GTCCCTCACACAGCACCTTCTAGGCATTACAGTTGACCACGTAAATTCACGGACCCCTCTTCTTCTGCTTCTACGGCAACATTAAACGATGAAAAGCAAATAAACGAAATCTTGTCTGCTTGGATCGCTCGTGGAGGTGCGGAAAATAACAAAAATATATTTAAAAAAATGTTACACGCGCTCGCGGTAAGTACGAGGAGGGATACAACTCACGTGACTATCGGCGATGCCTCCCGTCTGACCGCCCCGACACCTTGCGGTACACTGTTGCGTCACAGTGCACTGGCGGGAACTTTTAATTAAGCCTCGTATTTCTATTTTTTATAAAAAAAAACTACGCAACTGGGTGTTGTCCTGCGCTGGACAACACAAAGGTGGCGGGACGCATGAGGGGCAAGTTGGAGAGAGAAATCATGGAAGCGGCGCGTATACTTGCCTGTGCACCAGATCACTGCATTAGTGTCGCGTCAGTGCATCTGACCAACAGGGAATTACAATTCCTCAATTGTGACCGCCCTTAGTATAGACGATTGCAAGCAAGGCAACTGGCCGTCGCCATGTCTCTGTTTGTGGGGAGAAGCCCGTGCAATTGCAAGCTTGCCAAAGCTATGTTCACGAGCAAGTTGCATGCACTTGCCCGCATGGGGCACCAGTCGAGTCGCCATGCTTGCAATTGTCTATACTGTACACGCGAGCTGTAAAGGTCGAATTTGTGTCCTGAACGCGGTGTGCACGTGGTGCGAACGTAGAGTGTACGCAGCGCATGATCTTATTGTTCTCTCGTGCCGCTGCCAGAATTTTACTATTTTTTAACATGTATTCTGGTCACGCGTTTTGCTACGTCCTTCTAGTGCCGCTGTTTCTTTCTTTATTAGCATTTATCTTTTTTGAAAGAGAAGGAAGAGCTTGTGCTTGCGCGGGCCACTGTGCGCGCGTGGAAGTTCTAGTATACCTTTGGTTGTTAGTCAGCGTATGTCCTGTGTCCTTCTTCTACTTTGTGTCCTGTCCCTTCTGCGCTGTTTCTTATTATGTCTTCCAACCAACCAGCCCAGCAAGGTTTCCTGTTACGCAACTCTGTAGCGCAACAATGTTTTTGTAATGCCCTGATATGCCTAGTCAACGCCTAGCATAAATTGTTTTTTTTTTGGCGTGTCAGAGCTCTTCTGTAGCGGCGCTCAAAAATCGGAGAGTGATAAACATCTTTACAGACGCCAATACCATTCGGTATCCTTCCCAAGTTCATAGAGCATGTTTTTGACGTTATTGCATGTTTCAATTAAATTTGACTTTATGAGCCTTGGTGACTCAGCGTTTCTATCGCTGCGCGCGTCTTACATCCGCGTCTTACAAAGACTATGCATATTAAGCAAGGTAAAGAGATCGGAGGAAAAGTAATCAGGGTCTTCGACAGGAAGAAATCGAATTGAGTACGCTTTGATGTAAAGGTTGTTTTTAAGGGATCTTTGAAGGACGTCCCAGAAAAGATAAGCGACTGTGCAAAAAATGAAGCAGTGTTCAATGGTTTCCGGAGCATTGCATAAACGACAGTTCACCGATCACGGAGCTAATATGCCTTTATAAGGTGGTCATGATGTTACAGGTAGTGTCTTCGTGTGCAATTAGAAAAAAAAATATATATTTGGCCGTTGGTGAGACATTTATTCTGCGCACTCTTCTGAAAACATCGTGGTCGGGACCTTCGGGATATCGGCTGCGGCAGACATATATGGGATATGGTGTTTCGAACAAGGTGTGGTAAAGCCCCTTCCTAAAAATGGTGGACAAATAATTTGTGGAAAAAAGGCACTTTCAAAAACTGGACGGCTGCTACAACTTCTTTGAGGAAGCCGAATGGGTGTGGCATCGTCAAATAAACAGACGAAAGAAATAAGTCAAAGAGAAGATCGGGCAGGTGGGTTTGTAGATAGGTCCTTTTAAATTGGTGGGAAGACATTCTGAAAATCACAAAGCGTGAAACGGTCTGCCGTACAAAAAGGTGGGTTAGAACAAGCCCTCCTGCTTCGATAGGACGAAACAAATAGTCGCGGCGCATTGATTTCCACGAGGATCCCCCAAATAAAGGTAGCACATATCCTGTAATAGCGGTGAAGAAGTCCTCGGGCACAGCAAATAACTTGAAGCACGTACCACAGTTTGGCAACCAAAAAATGTTACAGGCAGTAGCGCGGCCAAACATTGAAAGCTGACCAGGTTTCAGCATGTCGGCTCGTCGTTTGAGTTTTTTGGAACGACATTTTCACTAGTGAGAGCTATTTCTTACTAAATCCATAGGCACACCGAGGTAGGTTGTCGGCACGCAGGACTATATGACACCTGAATATTCCGAGGGCGTTGACCCCCAAGTCCCATACCAAAGTCCACGACATTCGAAAGTATGAACAAGAGCTCCAGCTGGCCTACATAATAGTTATGTCAATTGTAAGCAGCATCAACGCAATGCTTTTCGACACAAAAAATGCCACATTATCAGCATGAGCAAAAACTTTCACTTCAGCAGACAATAATTTGTGATGGCTTACGCTATAAAAACAAAGGCTATAAAAACAAGACAAAAAAGGAGGGGAGATAGTGGACATCTTTGTTTCACGATGACCTGATATGAATTGACGAGGAAATTGCGCCATTTACAATTAAACGAGTTAATAAGGTATTACTGTAACGCATCATAATTCCTTCAAAAAGTATCTTCCCTATGTTTACGTGTTTTAAAAGGGCGAACATAAAGGAATGGCTAACGCGATTGAAACCATTTGCGAGGTCAATCTGAAGCATAGCCACCTGGTCATGCCAGCTGTCGCAACAGTGTAGTGTAGAGCGGGCAGCGTGAATGTTTGTTTTTATTCTGGGACTTGTGATTCTACATGTTTGGTGGTCTCCGACAACTCGTGCATTGGCTTATTGTAAACGTTTCGTTAGTGTCTTACAAATGTTTTGTAATCCACATTGCACAGTGCTATGGAACGATACTCCTCAGTAGTTTTCAATTTATTAAGGTCAAAACGTCTTGGAATTAACACAGTGTGACTCTGATAAAACGGTGGAGGTAAGTTGCCATAATCAAAGGCAGCCGTAAAGAGTTCTACAAGAAATGGACATAACATATCTATGTTTCTTTTGTAAAATTCTAGCGGAAGACTGTCTGGTCCAGGTGTTTTTGAATTAGGAAGTCTTTCAACAGCCTGTCGCATGCCTCCTTAAGAGAGAACGGCCCGGTTTATAATTCTGAGTCCTCGTCACTAACACTAGCCAGCTGCGATACTAAGGGCTCGAGCCCCCCATTCTATGACAAGGGTGCATTCTAAATAGGTTTTCATAATGTAGCGAGAATGCGGTTATAGTGTCGTTTGGATTCCTTGAGTAAGTACCATTGCTTGATCTTTTTTTTTGTCTCTCAAGCACAATGACCAATTGTTTTCTCAACAATGGTTTGTCTTATCTTCCATAACTCGAATAAAAAGTTCTCTTTTCAAGAAATACCCCGTCAACAGCCAGCTCTATTGCTGCCTTCGTATCGTCGGATAAAACCGTGGAAAGGGGGTCGTTAGATCAATTGGCATTGTTTAGGCATAATTTAAAACTCTCGGTGGTGAGATATTACGATACGCTCAAGTTTACAATAGTCTTGCACTAGGGTGCCTGGCATCTTATTACAGCCCAGCAGCCATTAAAGGTACGGTACCAATAAGGCTGCCGAAGAAAGAACAACAACAAACAACAGGCATTCAAACAAATTACAATCAAGAAACGTGAACATAATATTACTGTGTTCCTGAAGTTGTCGGTAACTGTAGTTGCGAAATGACTCCTATGTTTGCAAAGGGACTAGAAATAATCCTTCGTCATAGAATTGACAAAACGTTCTTTCTGCAGCATGAAGTTGGGCACGACTAATGTGGTGATCCTGAACGATTTGGCTTCCATAAAGCAGTTCTACTGCGCAGAAGATGAGCTGAGCCGTCCTCGCGAAAGCATCCTGAATGAAGTGACACGGGGAACCATGGGTACGTGCTCGTCAGTTATATTATGCGCAGTTCGACTTCTTCAAAAGTAGGACACGACAATGAATAAACATCGCTGTAGTGTATGCTTCTTCAAAACTAACGGCACTCCTCTTTGCTTTACCAAACTAGCCATTGTGTTCTAAGCAGACAGAGAGTAGGAAACGGCTTGGTTAATTCCCGGAAAAATTAGATCTTAACTCAACATTGGAAGAAGAGCCATAGGCGCCGACTACTGTGGGGGGGCTCGGGGCTTTTCCGAAAAATTTTCGAGGTGGAGCAGAGCCCTTCCCGGCTAAGTGAAAGAGAGGAGAACACCTTCGGTTCACTTGATATGCCGTTGGAGTGTCGCTTGACGTCATTTGAAGCATCTTGTTCAGACGCCTTGACGTGCGTTCACACTACAGCAGACGACGCCGCAGATACTCACACAAGCGACTGTTTAAATTTCGGCCTCCTACTCACCACACAATTCGAACTGAAGCAAGGAATGGTACCGCACAATTTTTCCCCAAAATTGTTTCCCCAACAATACCATGCGGCAAAATAAACGCGATTCTACAGCTCCCCGAGCGAGAAAACGAAGAGCCTAAATTGATGATGACAAGCGACGGTGGCGCAACTTCAAGGTCGATCTCGAAGCCAATAGCACGAATGAGCAACCTCTGCAATCAAACACAGTCACCAGCATAGCTCGGCACGTACCCGCGGAAGTACGTAGCGGAAGTGCCCGAGCGCCCTGCCTCCTATACGGATATGACGTCATCTGGAAACAATGCACCCGGACGCTCCCAAGATATTTCGTATATTGAAAACTTTAATTAAAAAAAAAGTCACATCAGAATGTGCCCTGCATGAAACTGGTCAAATCGCGTAAGAGTCGGGCAACGAAGCGTAGTGATATGCAAATTCTAAATCACATCAACAGTTATCAGTAAGGTATCAAAACTACAAATCTGGCGCTTGTACTTTCTCTAAGGTATGGCGAATCTCAACGGCGAAGCGTGGACAATGAATAGAAATTTCAGTCTTCGAATGCTTCGAGATCTGGGTTTCGGAAGGGCACCGATGGAGGAGCACATTAGGGTAGGTATAAGAAGTAATTTATTGTATAGTCAATGCCAGAATGAGAACGGCAGGGAGGGGTTTCAGTTGCCCCGCCTCCAGCACGATAATGCTTGGGAGTTATCGCATACATTTATTGTCTTATTTTATCTAAATGGGCCACGAACTTTTCTCGCGGGAATATCATTTTTTTTCGAGACATGAACATGAAACCGATCTTGTTTAATGAAACCAAGGCCCCGTGTAACGTTTCTTTTTTTTTTTTGTCTCAACATAGTTTGCTGGATTTATCTTTCTGCAGTACAGTACGGGGTGCTGCTCTCCCGGGATTGTAAACTGTGATTATTGATCGGAACCTCAATGGTGTAATGCTAACAATATTTGTAAAGACATGGGTACACTCAATAAGATATTTGCTCTTTTTTATACGTTTCAGGAGGAATTGTTCAACCTTGTCCACCAGATAGAAGCGGCCAAAGGACGTGCTATTCCTGTTCTGGATTTCATTTTCCCAAGCATTCTCAACATCTCCAGCGCCCTTTTGTTTGGAACCAGATACGCATTGGGCGACCCGAAGCGGGAACACCTAACAAAACACGTCGCGGCTTACGTGGAGCTATTTCACAGCGGCACGCTTATCGAGTCAAAGCCGCGCTGGTTGAGTAAATTGGAAGCCAGCCTTCCTTTTACGAGGACAGGGGCCATGCGGAGATTACGCAACGTTCTGCTCGACTTCATCAGGTAAGATTTAACTGTGCAGCGGATGCGGAAGGTGAAAAAACGACTTCCGTTATCTGACATTATCTTATGTAATGTACGAGCGGAGGCATGTGCCTTATTTTGCTTACGTCGCTGGGAAGTATGTAGTTCACATACGGTAAACCCTACCCTGCAAAGCGAGCCGCGAGACATCAGAGCTTTCACACAGAAAACTCAAATTTTCACCAAGTTTGCATTCAGGTGGTTTGTTAATTTACTTTGTAAAAGTTGAAGGGCGTAAAATGCGAGACCGACGAACTTGCCAAAGTCGGCGGTGGACGTGTTCGCAGAAGACCGAGTGAGCCCGGGTGTCCCCTTATGGCGCCATCTACAGAAAGGCGCAGGGAGTAAGCGACACTCTCTGTGTTCTGCTCCTTTTTCCAGCAGATTTTTGCAGCGTTGGATCCACCGTAATGTTTTTTTTTTGCTTTTTTTTTTTTTACAGCGGAGCCGTTAAGGGTTAGTTCCTCCAAAATCGTGTCCTTCAGCAAATAAATGTGGATACAACACTCCGGACAGCTACCACCATCTACGAGCGACGGCGGCAACCAGTCAATTGGCTTGCCGGTTGTCTGGTTGCCACCGTCGCTCATAGATGGCGGCAAGCTTTCTAGTCTTTTCACTCTGGCTTGCCGACTTGCGGCCGGCCATTACTTCATTCCCACGATAGTACGGTTTTGCTGGTCTTCCTCCTTCACCAGAAGCTGACTAACGCGTACAGAAAGAAACAACGAAGGTATGCGTGCGTTTTAACATAACGTGATGGTAAAGCGTCGATCTTATCGGTCAGAAGTGCGCTGCACTCGATACGAGCTGGAGGGCCAATCGAGCCAAGCCGAATCTGCAACATCCGGCAGCGTTTGCCAGCTTTTTGCGCGTGCTCATCCTCCGGCTTATCCAAAGCTTTTCGCTTTTCGACTGTGTATGTGTTTCCGTGTCTTCTAAGCGTTGACTGCGCTCAAATATCTCGAGCGTTCTAAGGAAAACTGATTTCGTGGAACGTGAATCTGCACAACATAGGGTGTTGCGCAAGATGAGGCTCACACAAAGCGAAGAAGAAAATTCGGCAGAGACACGTGTGTGAATGCGAAAACATGACGCACGCACTAGGCACACATCTAGTCAGCCCGAACCGTGGAGCCGCCGTGGCGTCGGGGAAGCGTGCTGATCTCGCACCACAGAGGTCGTGGCTCGATTGCCACCCGGACTAAAATGTACAAAATTTTATTTTCAAAGACGTTATTTTTACTTTGTTTTGACGTGTTTCTACTCTTTGCGCTGCGCCGCCAGCAGTTCATCTGGCTCCTTAGCAACGATGATGCGGTTGCTATGGGCCCACATCACACGTCGCAGGGAATTTAGGTGCCCTTTTATCGCTGCTACACACAACGATAACGCCGGCTTAAGCTCAGATAACTCCGGATCGCTCCATGAACCCATCTAATGCTTTCGCATTAAAAGGAAAATGTGTGTGTGTGTGTGTGGGTCAAGGAGGTGTCGGCAAGTGTCGGCGCCCTCGTCGGCAAGAGATCGAACTATAGGGGGCGTTTTATCGAGCTTGTCGTCCCCACAGCCCGGTGCTTAGCACATCACAACAAAGGTCTGGGCACGAGCGCTTTGATCTGACCAGTACTTTGGTCGCACGACGAGCGACCTTGGAAGAGTCATCTCCGATTTCTCTACCCAACAACAAATAAGAAAATTCGGTTTGTTGCCCACACAGCTGAAGCGTACCGCTAGGGGCGTGACTGTTCGATATCCTCCCCAATACTAGATTTTTCCGGAAATATGTGGTCCCCAGCGTCTGTTTTACGCATTGTGACGTTCAGATCCATACGGCACGTTAAATTATCCAAGATGAGAAGACGAAGTTGACGTTGGTTTAGCAGTTCTTGATTTCAGAACGGAGAGAAGTCGGAAGAAAAGCAAAACAGAGTATGTGCTTGGCTTCTTTTTGTTCGCTTAATTGTTTGGTGTGTTTGGAGTTCCGTACGATAAAAAAGAATGAATCATACCGCTACCAGAATATACGAAGCGTTTGTGCTGGCACGACCGTACATCCAAACAGCTCCACAATTTCCCTCGTTACAAGGTCTGGGATTTTCCGGAAAAATCTATTTACTAGATCGCGCATCTCCGCTTGGTTGCTGCAGCTCAAGTGTGGCCACCGGAAGTTCAGAACCGGCCATCTTTGGCTTGATAGTCAGCCGGGTAAGCTTTGCAAAGGCTGGGTGGCTGCGTGCGGAAAGACACGTTTTCTGCTCGTTCGTCTCCTTCGTCAAAGAAGTTTTTGAAAACCTTGTGTAAGCGGTCAATTCTTGATCGGTATCCGAGCTTACGAAGGAACAAAGACGCAGACACTTCGGCGTTCGTAGGCATGTCCTCTGAACACGACGTTTGACCGCAAGACTTGCGTTCGACGAGTTGTACCATCCCCTAGGTGCTTCGCTTCGTAAAAATTTCCACGGATTCTCAAAGGCAGCAATAATAATTTACAAAAAAAAAAAACTTTTTTTTTTTTTTTGCGGGGGGGGGGGGGGGGGGGTGAACGACGGCGAACGAGCAGAAAAAATGTCTTTCAGCACGCAGCCGCCCAGCCTCTGCAACGCTTCACCCGGCTGACCTTAAGCAGGCCCCATATGATCGATTCGAAACTTCCGGTGGCCGCACTTGCTCTGCAGCGACTAAGCGGGGATACTCGATCCAGCAAATTGTTATAGAAATCAGTGGTTGGGGGAATGGACGCCACTAGAGTTTGAGGGTGATATTGACAGAGCCTTTGACTTACCGTGAGCCAGAACCAATAACCATAACACCTTGAACAATTAGGTGATAACAGGTTCTGAACCCATTGCGAGTCCCTTCGAAACTCGAACTCTTCATTAAGATGACAAGTGAGAGATATGGTCGTGTAAATGTGGAGGGACGTCAGCAGCTTCGCGGAGAAAGGAAAGGGACGCGCGAGCTAGCTGATGAGCCTCTTCTTTGCCCTCGACGCCTGCATACCCAGGGACCCAGGAGATTTTGATGGTCGTTCCTTGCTGCAGGAGTGGGGAGGCGAGCTTCTTGATTTCCCGAACTATGCGACTCGGGCTGCTTGCTTTCCGGCATTCTTTAATTGCTTCCTGCGAGTCAGAGAACACTCGGAGCTCGTGAAATAGCGGGTGTTGTGACTTGAGGACTGTTTCGAGGGCGAGGTGAATCAACGCAAGTTCAACCCCTTTGATGGAGGTACGCATTGGAAGTGCGTTCGCGGCCGAGGAGTCAGCGCTGCGAGTCTGTTTCCTTCTTGTGTGCCTGTGAGTGTGACTGTATCCGCGCTGTTCCATTCATGCATGAATTACCAGCCTTGGGCTTGGGTAGTAACGCGTTACTAGTAACGCGTTTCTGTAATTTCGTTACTTTTTTGTAACTTGTAACTGTAACGAGTTACTTCAAAAAATGTAACTAGTAACTGTAGTTCTATTACTTTTTTTAAGGTAACGATGAAAGTAACGACGTTACTTCTGTCGTTATTTTCCAGTTTTCTTATGAATAATATATCATTGTACAAGTACAATCTAGCTATTCATTGCACTTTCCAAATTTCCTTTTCCGTCAATTTAAGTGTCAAGTTGGCCTTGCACAAACTTGTGAGTAAGACCCGCTAGCCCAAGCATCCACATTATCAAGCCACCATCAACCTCGAGGCCATATCTGTATCTGTCCTGGCTTGGCTTAGCTTGCTTGGGTCTTTCGGATGGGTGGATAATTGCAATAACGGTACGCCTTGTAGTAGGCGCTAGCTTGCACCACCTAGATTGAATGTTGTCAGTGGTACTGAATTCCGAAATACTGCGCAAATATAAAACTAATAATAACTGTAGTGCGTCCTGGTTTTATTAAAGAATTGTTTGATCAAAACTATGGTTAAAAGATGTCCTAAACATATGCAACTACATGTAATAATTTTTATGCGAAATTTAGTTTAGCAGTAAACGTGTATACTACCGCCATATCATTCATTTATTAAAAAAAACAATCAAATTGAGGGCGTATATATTACCTCTAACTTTGTATCTTTCGTCCTCAATAAGTGCTCGGAAGGACGTTTCTAGAATGATCCATCGACTGACGTTCTCAGGATGTCCTGAGGACGGCTTGAAAACCATGAGGTCGTTAGTACCTTTTGAGGACGTCCTGAGGATGTCGGGTGTTGTCTAGGATGCTAACCTTTTTCCTACAATGATATCGATAAAAGTATATTTCAAAATAAGTCTTCCTTTCTTTTGTTTTTGCTTTATAGGGATCGGATCAAGGAACATGAAGACACAATAGAGGCGGATTTCAACCGAGACTATATTGATGGCTACTCCAAGGAGGTTGCAAAACGTCAACATGACTCCAATTCTGCGTTTCGGGGTAAGTTGTGCACGAACGAGTCGCTGTCGTTGCAAGCCCAGTAGAAATTAAGCCAAAATACCACTGCAATCATCATATTGTATTTAAATTTATCACGCACTATATCTCACATAAGCCGATGTACAAGGCAACCTAGAATATACCTGCTAGACCTTGTATTATTGCTCGATGTAATGATACTTTAATGCAAGATTCTCTTCCGATGAACAGGAGAAACAGAACAATATTCCCTTTGAATTTTCAAACAAACGTTTGGATAAAAAAATTTTGGACTGTAGATTTTTTATAGAGAAAGTCAGAAAGAGAAAAGAAAGAATTGCGGAAAAGTGAAAAAAAAAGAAAATTGGTTGTCTCTTGGATGCCGTCACGACGTTACGTGACGTCACAATGTCAGGTGACGTAATGTCCCAAAGTTACGTCACGGTATCTCCTGACGTCACACTGTCATGTAGCTTTATAGTAACTTGTGGCGTCACCGTACCACTTGCCGAAATGGTGTCGCGTGGCATGACAGTCACGTGAAATTATGCTGTCACGTGACGTCATGGATTCACGTGACGAGATGTCGTGTCACTGTACCACCTGACATCATTGTGTGACGTGACTTGACATGAAGATGTCATATCATGGTGTCACCTGACGTGACGCGACCAAATGACGTGGTGTCAGGTCGCATCACGTAACACCATGACTTCATACTGTGACATGGCGTCTTGGTACAGAAGACCTATAGATTTTCATACAGATTTAGAGAACCATTAGGATGACTTCCCAGCGTCACATGACGCTGGGACGTCATCCAGGCGACACGCAACGGACACGAAATCCCAAAAGCAGGCCCTATAAATGCTGTGCATTTAGAAAGGGGGATAATGATTTAGGGAGGTGACTCCTTCGGCCTCGCATTTGGTGAACCTTTGGACCTTAGGACACCTGTGCTGAGACGAAATCACGGTGATCCACAGAAGGGGTGTGAAAACTAAAGAGGCCGAAGCGATGCTTTCATTGAAAACTGAAAGTTTGTACTATCGACGAGCTTTACAAAACACTGCTATCGAAGCATTCTTCTAAAGATGAAACTTTCAGCGGTGCGTAGTATCTACAGGTGCAGACTTTACTTTATTTACTTTATTTACTGAAAATAAATATTTCACAAACGATAGCGTACTGGCCCACGAAAGCAGAAATGCTTGTGTGTGGGTCAAGGCAGCCAACAAAACACTGCATACATCATTACACTTAAGAAAGACCTGTCCACTATGCAAACGATTACAACTTTTTATCCACAGGTAACACCAGCGAGCGTTTGACACCACTCTTTGATTTTTAGTTTCACCGCGCGAATGGATGTTAAATTACTTAAAGTTTCAGGCAACGCGTTAAATAATGCAGGGATGTAATATTTCCTTTCTTTTCTACCATAATTTGTTAGAACTTTCGGCAACATAAATCTCTCTGTACGCCTTAGATTTCTTTTCTTAACCTCGTATTTGAAATCATTTTTATAATAATTACTTGTTATTGCTACCTATTTATGAAATCGATCGAATGAAAGTATGCCTAGTGCCTTAATTTTTTCTTCCAGCTCTAAGCCATCATGGACTGAACCATATGAAACGTTATTCGCACTATGCTTTATGACCCTATCAATTCCCTTTCTTTTGTACCCTGAACAATTCCCGTATATCGTTATTCCATACCGTAAGATTGACTCCCCTAGAGCTCTGAAAATAGACTGCCGTAATTTTACACAGCATGCACTTTTTAGTTTGTATATATACGCGGATACTAAACGGAGCCTTCTAGTAATATGTTCTAACTGCTGTTTCCAAAGTACATGCTCATCAAAAAATATACCTAAATATTTGACTGAAGACTCATATGGTAATGGTTTACATCTGCAGATTGACTGATCTTGCTCATGAAGGTGGAGATATATGTTTGTCTTAAGTTCAATGCGCTAATGAGGGTTACGGAAACATACTAGCTTAGTTTTTTTGGTATTTAGAGAAATTTCGTTACTTGAGAGCCAATATATTAATAAGTTTATCTCACTCTGAAAAAGAGGAACCGCTTGCTCGTAGTCATAATGTGGTAATAATAAAAGGGTATCGTCGGCATACTGAAACATTCTAGACTGCAACGGTATTGATCCTAGGTCGTTTACATAAATATGAAAAAGCAAGGGGCCTAAGGTGCTGCCCTGCGGCACCCCACATTCGATTCTTACTTTTTCACTTGTGTTGTGACTAATTTTGACCATTTGAAATCGGTCTGTAAAGTAGTTTGTAAAAAATCTGTTAAAACGACCTCTGAATCCGTGCTTTTCGAGTTTGCGTAATAGAATTTTGTGGTCGAGTGTGTCGAATGCTTTAGATAAATCCACAAACCAGGCAAGCGCAATCTTATTATTTTCAAGTGTCTCATGTACACAGTCGGAGAAACCTTCTAGTAGTGAAATCGTACTTCTCTGTTTTCGGAAGCCACACTGCGCGTCATTTAATCACGAAAATTTGTCGCAAAATCCATTCAAGTATTTTTGAACCCATTTCTCTAGGATGTGAGCGATCACAGGTAATATAGATATGGGTCTATAATTTCCAACTTCTTTCTTATTACCATTTTTATAAAGCGGCCTTACTATTGATACTTTTAGCCCTTCTGGAATTTCACATGTTGTCAAACAGTCGTTGATGATTTTAAGTAGCATTAGTTTTAACTTTGGATAGTTATACTTTAAATCCCGTACACGAATTTCATCTATCCCCGGTACCTTGGTAATTGACATTGAGTTGATAATATCGAACAATTCTTGTTCGTGTAGCTCTGCTAAGTGTGCCGAATTTAAGCAGCCTATCTGTTCAGCTGGATTTTTTCCCACATGCTGCAATATATTCTGCTTTAAGGCTTCTACAGTACTAACAAAACTGCTATTGAAGGACTGGGCCAGTTCCGTGTAGTTCTCTATACTGGGAAAATTATTTCTTATTGTATCGTCAATGTTATTTTTTTCTTTTTCTACCAATTAACTCATTTACGAGATCCCATGTTTTCCTTGAATTGAATACAAAAGGAATTGTTTTTTCACATCGGTCATTATGACGAGGTGGTACGGATTTTGTCAATGGCAGAGTAGGTTAATGATCATGTATGATTCAAGGTTCTATCCCAGGCAGGCATTTGTCAACGCGTGTTGTATATATTTTTCTTTTGTGCGTACTAGGCACCATGTGCGGACTATTTTTTGGAAAATAGGGTACTACAGTGGTGGAATGCCTTCATATCCAGTCCCATCTTGCCTGGTTGATGCTAGACATTAAAGGGGTACGGAAACAAAAATTGAAATAATTAAATTTCATTTGGAAATGAGTCAAGCATGACGGATAATAACCGTAAAATATAATCGCACGTTTCTGTGTTGTACGGCTGGATATATTTTTCGTTCCAAACGGTGCACTCGAGCGAGCGCTCGAAGAGAAGCGAACGGAGAGCGCGATGCGTCACGGGATATCCGGCGCAAACAAAAACAGAAAGAAACGATTCCCCGCATTCGTGACGTAGCAAGGCTTGCGTGGTTATGAGCTTTGCCCATGGTGGTGTTGTCCAATGAATGGATGTAACTTTGTAGCGGGCGGTAGCTTGCGCCGCCTAGCCTAAGTCTAAGAAAGACAAACATTTGATTCCTCCCGCCCTTCTAAGCCAATTTTTCACCCCCTAACTATCACCAGGTAGTGTGGGATATCACCAGGATGACCTTCGGGGAATCGAGCAAAAAAACTAAAAACACCACCCCCCCGCCTCTTCCCCCCCGGCAAAGAGTCGCCAATTTTCCTCTGGTCAGGCCTTGTCGGCGTTACCCCTGCATCGGACCCACTGGGAGACAGGGTTGAGACTTTGGGCCGAACTCACGCGGGAGGGAGTCACAATTTTTCTCTGCTCCGTTTGGCCCCAGCTGTACTAGTTAGTTCTGCATCATTCAAATTTCCCTAGATAATTTCCACCAATCTTCTAATCGCCTCTTTGTGACTGACTAGCGTTGTCAGCGCGTTACAACCTATCCGTTCGAAGTACCCGTGGGGTGACGAGCGTGTGGATGCCCCAAGGAGCACGTAGCTTCCACAACATCGTCAGCTTAGGGCTGACCGGAGTGGGGAAAGCAAGTTTTGTTCGAGTTTTGATCGACGGGTTAATAATCTTCTAGGGGGAGAGTGGCTGTGTCCGGTTGCACGAACGAGGGTCCGAGAAAGTGGGGAGTCCTTCCTTTCTGTCTTCTTGGACCGTTTGGTACAATGAGCGATTTGTGAGTTGAGCTAGGAGGAAAGCTAAGAAGGAAAATGTTGAAATCCCAAAGAGTGGCGCCGCTCCGAAGGAGTTTGCCACGTCACGACTACGTAGCAAATTCCCCAACGTTGCTAGATTACCTCCCAAATAGGCTCCGCATGCATCCACCAAGTGCACATTGAAAGATCGTTCATTTAGCTTTAAAATTAGTTTTCTTGTGCCTTTCAATGGGAGACTGGTGTTTTTGAGGTTAGGGTGCAACATGAAACACATTCAAGCTAGAAAGTGAGCGCTGGAATTTCGTTTCCCTACCCCTTTAAGCTGCATGACTAAATCGGCAGCAATCTTTACGTCGTATTCAGGCTAACTGTGGAGCCTGGTTGAGACATTTGCGTTTGAGTGGGACCATGTGCGCTACGACAACTTATAAGTTATATGAGTTATAACATCTTACGACGAAATGGTTGTTATAGCAACCGAGGTCCGCGCAATGCATCAGTGTGGAGCGCAAGGAGTCGCAACCCGGTCGATCATGCTGAACGGAAATGTTTGAGGCAGTCTTAGAAGTGAACTGTGCTCCACAAAATTCTTTTTGAGCTACCCAGACAAACTAAATTTTCTGAATACTTAAAAAAAAAAAAGAACCACCTGCTGGCGGACCGCTTTACATATCTTGATACATAAATACATAGCCGCGGAAAAGATGAACCACAACATCA